GCAGCAACTGTCGAGGTACCAAGTATTGGGACCTGCAATAGTATGTGCAAGATTTGCATAGACCTCAGGTGGAATCGGTGTGTTGAGTTCGTTGTTGAACCGGTTGTGAATCCGCTCTTCAGCATCAGGATCATAAACCGTTGAAACTGATGTCATGCAGGTAATAACTTGCTTTGACTGTGTCTTCGCAGGGTCCGGCTTCGCAGAATTCAGCTTCGCAGCGTCCGGCTTCTCAGCTTCCGGCTTCTCAGCTTCACTTGAAGAATCTTTGGTATGTTTCGATGCAGACCGCTTCCAAGATGGTTTGTCTTTCGACCAGCAGGTATCAATAGTGTGTCCTGTTTTTCGACAAAAAGAACAAACGGGCTTGTGACGTGGATTATAATAAAAGCTGACTGTATTGTTTACCACCTTTTTCCCTCCTCGAGCGTTGTGCAGGTCCATATCCTGCTGCTCGGCGATGAGAGCGGCACAGAGTGCCCCCTTGGAAAACTGTGCTTGCATCCGAAGTATAGAGCGACACTGTCGCCATTCTGGTCCAAGACCCGCGAGTAGCACCGTGTGAAACATAGCGTCGGGGAAATACCCTCCACACTTCTGAAGTTGATCACGCAAATTTCGAGCGCGGTTGATATACTGTGTCACCTTCTCGCCGTTTATCATCTGTATATTTGACAGCTGCGTCAAATTTTTACTCTGGTTGACAGTGTCCTTTGCCATGTGAACCCCTTGCAGGTACAACCAAGCTGCTTCAGCAGGAGCGGCACTGGTACGAAAAGAACGAATTCCGAGCTGTTCAGTCGGTGTCAGATTACGAACGAGAACTGTGTATGCAGTCAGCGACGCCGATCGAAAAGTGGCTTGTTGAAGTGGTGACCCGTGAGATGGAAAGGGTGCTGTGCCGTCATACAGCTGCCAGAACCCCACGGTCTGAACAAGAAGCTCAAACTCAAAGCTCCAGGTATAAAAGTCTTGACCGTTAAAAGGCATTGTCGTTTTGATTTTCGTTGGATTTGTAGAAGCAGGAATATAATTTCCGGTCCCGTCAGCTGATTGTAGCTGATAAAGTGATGGCACTTGTGACCCTTGTAGTGTTTGTTGTCCTTGTCCAGCAGGACCAAAAGAGAAGGAGTTGTTCGACCCATCACTTCCTTGTGGCATCTGACCACGCTGATAACTGGAGCCATCAATGCTCATAGGAGTTGGAAACATCTGGTTAAGCGACAAGACGGCAGCATTAACACGTTGTTGAAGATTTGCTGGCTGGTAAGCACCTTGATATTGGTAAGGTCCAGTCGGTACGAAGTTGGACTGTTGTCCCGGTTGACTAGAAGAACCAGTGACTACAGCTGCAGCTGTTGTGGCTGCTGATGCTGCTATTGCTGCGGCTGCTGTCGATGATGCCGCTGCTGTAGTTGCGTGTACGGGCTGATTGCTCAATGGCATGCCGTACATCGGTTGTTGCTGATATTGTTGTTGTTGTTGTTGTTATTGCTGCTGCAGGTGTGAATTATCAGCAGCTGGAGACGCTGTTGGGCGTGATGGGCTCGTAACAGAATAGCCATTGTTGGACCTTGGAGATCCAGACATAGTTGTAGAGTAGGCAGGTGGAAGCTGTTATAATCCTAAGTAGCTCTGATACCATGTTAGAATTTAAGCTGTCTGAATAGGATCGTAGTCTTAGGATAGTAGCTTCCTGTAGCAGTGGAAGTCTTATATGAGTGACTTGTAACAGGATCAATATCTCTGAAATCAAGTATATTCAGAAATGTCAAACATACAGAATATATACTACGATAAAGTACCTATTCGCCTAATGTACCTATTAGCCTGAAACGGTACGTGACTATTCGCGATACCTACAGCTACTGCTGACGTCATCCTAGGGCGCGTAGCGATTTGCTGACGTCAGCCTATCGGTACTTTTACTGTACTAACTACACTACACGAATTCCTTGAAGTGCACAAGTCTCGATATTATCTCAACAATATGGAAGGGTTACAGAAACGTTGTCCTGGGGGTTATGGGCGCACTGACCCGCTAATCAACAAGCCCTTTTATCCCAGTGGTCTAGTGACTGGGATTCTGACAGTAATGCGGTGCGCGCGAGCTAGCTAGTGCTTCACAGACGTGAGGTTCGGGCTAGTCCCGAAGCGTAGGCCGACTCGGCTGCTCCAGCTGTGCGAGGTTTGGTGAAACAGTGCGCGCGAAGTTGGTAAAGAACCATTAGCAATAACGGGCGAACAGCGGCTGCTGCTGTACGCGATGTTGACGGTCGCAGTAAGGAAAAGCGAGAAAAATCCTTACAAGGTGGGCAAATTTCTAGAAGCTATTTGTACTGGTTTTATGCTGAAAGACACAGCAACTATGTACAGTAAAACATTACGCTTCGCTGAAGTTTTCGCCCGCACCCTTCTCGAAGGTATCCTTGGGATGTGTGGCAGTCGTTGATTCAAGATGAGGTTGGTGGGCGATGGGATGTATGGTTCGAGGGGGTCGCCATGCCACAATGGCTGGGTCCGAGCCAACCCAAGCGCACATGAATGTGCCTCAGGCGGAAGTTACGTTGACGAACCATTTTTTCGGGGCAGTTTTGGTGGACCAAACCAGTAAGAAGGTGCGATGCCCAGGCACGTACGCTTTGGTTCTGATAACGTGCCCGGTTGGAGGGATAACGTGGAAAGATTGCTCTCATTTGTTGGCCGAAATTTCTGGGGTTGGGCCTATGTGAGTGGGACTCGCACCTCCTTGGCCTACGCTTTTATCCTCCCATCTTTCCATTCATTTTGGCCGTCCTTGCTCACATCACTCACCTCCAGTCCAGTCCCAGACTCAGATCTTCCACCTCGTCTGCCATTTCCCTAGGTGAGCCCCTAATTTGGAATTCCACTTGGATCCCTCTAATAGTAGAATCCCAGGTTTCTGATTTCGACTGTAATTGGTGAAATCAATGACGTCTTTTTGACACATTTTTCATCGCTTCCTACTTTTCCAGTTTAAACTGCTACAATGGCTGACGATCAGGGGGATATCTCTGCTCTCGTGTGCGACAATGGGTCTGGTATGGTGAAGGTGAGTCGATCTAGACTAGTTTGCAAGAATATGTTATTGTTAACTTTGCGGTTCATTTCTAACATTGCGTATTATGTTTTCTACTCTGCAGGCTGGATTCGCTGGAGATGATGCTCCCCGTGCGGTGTTCCCCAGCATTGTTGGCCGTCCTCGTCACCAGGGAGTTATGGTTGGAATGGGACAGAAGGATGCCTACGTGGGTGATGAGGCGCAGTCCAAGCGAGGAATCCTGACCCTGAAGTACCCTATCGAGCACGGTATAGTATTATCACCTTTGTTTGCTTTAACTGTTATCTACAAGGCACCACATTGACGTATCTTGTCTTTTCCAGGTATTGTCACCAACTGGGATGATATGGAGAAGATTTGGCACCACACCTTCTACAACGAGCTTCGTGTGGCTCCTGAGGAGCACCCTGTGCTGCTTACCGAGGCCCCTCTTAATCCCAAGGCTAATCGTGAGAAGATGACCCAGATCATGTTCGAGACATTCAATGTCCCTGCTATGTACGTCGCCATTCAGGCCGTGCTGTCACTCTACGCCTCCGGTCGTACCACCGGTAAGTTTGCGGTCTTTTGCGTTCAGCTCTATCTTGTGATCAGCTGCATTATGGAACAGGTAGACTAAGCAATAATTGTTTTTCGATTCACAGGTATTGTGCTCGACTCTGGTGATGGTGTGTCCCACACTGTCCCTATCTACGAGGGTTACGCTCTCCCTCACGCCATCCTTCGTCTGGATCTTGCTGGCCGTGACCTCACGGAGTATCTGGTTACCATCCTGACGGAGAGGGGCTATTCCTTCACCACCTCCGCAGAGAGAGAAATTGTCCGTGACATTAAGGAGAAGCTTGCCTACGTGGCCATTGATTTTGAGGCTGAAATGGCTACTGCTCAAAGCTCTTCTTCCCTCGAAAAGAGCTACGAGCTTCCCGATGGTCAGATGATTACTCTCGGCTCTGAGAGGTTTAGGTGCCCTGAGGTGCTGTTCAACCCGTCCCTGGTTGGTAAGGAAGCTTCTGGTATTCACGAGACATGCTACAACTGCATCATGAAGTGCGATGTCGACATCCGAAAGGACCTGTACGGCAACATCGTGCTCTCTGGTGGTACCACCATGTTCCCTGGCATTGCTGACCGCATGACGAAGGAAATCACGGCGCTTGCTCCCAGCACCATGAAGATCAAGGTCGTTGCCCCTCCTGAGCGCAAGTACAGTGTCTGGATCGGTGGCTCCATTCTCGCCTCCCTGTCTACCTTCCAGCAGGTAAGAACCGCGTTTTTTCTGACGTTGCACTCGTTTCCCTACCACACTTAGCACTTAATTATCACCTCGTCGTTACCATCATTCTGTTTACGTCATTGCAGATGTGGATCGCCAAGAGCGAGTACGACGAGTCTGGTCCTTCTATTGTGCACAGGAAGTGCTTCTAAGAGGTTTCCAGGTGGATTCCATTGTTGTCATTAGTGTATGCCGAGTGGGACATGTAGACTGTAGTATGGATATCCTTTTTTTGTGAACGTAGTTTGTGCTTTATTCCCAGATTATTCAGCTTCGGTGTCGTATGTGAAATAGGAGATTTGGACAGAACATCTTCAATAAACTCGTCTACACTAATCACACTGAACGTCAGACACCAATTTCACATCCTGCTTGTGACGTAATTCACCAGCAATTTCGTTTTGTAACCATTTCCTGTCTAGTACTTTAATGAAAGGGAGGAAACGTATTCCTCTTGAATTGGCCTTGTTGATATCACTTATTCTACCATGTTGCCAGCAAGGTGGTGTTCTTTGCCGAAGACAGCCACATTGAATGTGCACTGGTTTTTACGGAAAAAAAAGAGGTTTATATACTTGAGAAGATGTACTGGATAAATTTTACTCTAAAAAATATTGAGCTGATAACCTGTGACCTGATAAATCATTACTGAAGTGATGTAAGTATGTCCCTGCTGACCTGCAATTCCCCTGGATTTTCCTCAACTTTGAGGGTCTTGATTACACCGTTTTCCACCACCGCAGCCCACCTGAATGCAAAAGTAGGGATGTGAAAAGTGTGCAAAAGGAATGTGTGCATGCAGCGCACCCAATTGGTTCTCACAGCCACACATGCAGACCTAGACGTTGTGCAGAAGGGAATGGCATGGAAGCAATTGTACATACCGGTTTGAGCGCATCCCCAAAAGCGCTCCTGAGCAGTCAAACTGAAGGCCCAAATGGCGATGGAAAGAACCATCAAAATCAGCATAGAAGTCAATCTGGCATAAAAAAACAATCCAAGAAAGGAGCGTTTCCGGATGAGAAGTTTGCTTGGATTGGATTCCGCCAAGGCTGCGTATTTCAGCGTTGGTTAACAGAAAAGAAATAAAGAAAGAAAGAAAGAAAGAAAGAAAAAAACGCAGCAAGGAAAGTAGCATAACGCTCTCCTGCTATTTGAATAGGCTGGGATCGACTGGTCAGCGGCGAGAGAAAAAATCCAACCGGGAGGGAGTGCGAGGAACAGGAGGGGGGTTGCAAGAGGAATCAGAGGGCTGGGAGAGAGAGCCCAAAGTAATGGGGAGGGCTGGGAGAAGGGCATTAGTATCAGAGGGACCTGGGATGGAGCTAGGAGATCAACAGGGAGGGATGGGAGTCTGATTTGTGCACCGTTACAAGGCTGATCGAACTGCCTATAAATCAAGGAAGGAATTGCCTGGGAAAATCATGGTAGACCATATCAGTGAAAAGTCACTGAATTCTGGGGGCACGCCGCATTCACATGCTGCCAAAGGCATGACCGTCAACCAAGGAACGACGGGCAGCCTTGAAAGCTGCATGTGAAAAAAGTAAACATAATTTTAAAAAAAGCACAGACCTTGTCGTGTGCCTGCAGCTGGTTGGCCCAGGCGTGCAGTGTGTAGGGGTCATTCACAGCCGTGCAGAGCACCGCATCCACACCCTTGGCCTTCAGCTCAGGCAGTGCTGCCAGGTACCCAGGCACGTGTGCCTTGGAACACACTCCTGTGAACGCACCCTGGGGGAGCAAGCAGGGGGATGGCCGACGTCACGAGTGGGGGAAATGAGAAATGGGACATGACAATGTCCTAAGGAGAGGGAAGGGATGGAGAGCAGCACACAATTTAGGAAAGAACAGTTGGACCTGGGAAACTGAAAGGAACGAAGCTGAGGAAGAGAGAACTTACAGGCACACCGAAGATCACCACCTTGCGGCCCTGGTTTGGCAGCAGGGGTCAGAAATGAACATGCACCACCAACAAAGCAAAAACTTGAAGTTAGAGACGAGCATTTTTTAACGTCCCACATATCCTACATAGCCAGACCCTCCCTCCCCACCACCGCATTCAAGCCACCCGTCCCAAAGCTCGCCCTTCTCTACACCCCTTTCAGAAACCCGTTTTTCAGAGACCCACTAACAAGTTCCTCACACCGTCACCAGCGGATAGGGACACCGTAATGCTTTCCACGCCCATAAGCAGGGGAAGTAGCCCGAAATGAAGACTGATTTTGAAACCTTCGCAAATGTGGGATGTAAACAGAACCACCGTGGCTCCCACCAATGTTCACACGCTCCGCGTAAAAACCTATCTATCTACCAGACATTTGCAAAAAAATGAAAAGACCCGGATCAAATGTGATTAGCAGAAATACAAGAACAGTTGCGGGGAGACGAACCAACGACGTGGAAACAGCCAAGTAGGAAGGGGAGGAAGAGGGGGGAGTGGGGCGGGGGGGGGAAGGGGGGAAAGGGGGGAAAGGGGCAAGGAAGGTGATGGACGAAGTGAAAAACGCTAAGTCAAGGAACGGACCTTGAAGACGTCAGCAAGGGAGGAGGTGGCGAAGTTGGTAGCCACGCCATCATCCCACGACCGCGCCTTCTGCAGGCTAGCTGGCCACGCCATGTCTATGGCAGTGGGCTGGCTGCTGCTGCTGCTGCTGCTGAAGGCTGCACGATGCTGCATGGGAGAAGGGGAGGGGGGTGGGAGGGAGCGAGGGTGGAAGGGAGGGAGGGAGGGAGGGAGGGAGGGAGGGAGGGAGGGAGGGAGGGAGGGAGGGAGGGAGGGAGGGAGGGAAGGAGGGAGGGAGGGAGGGAGGGAGGGAGGGAGGGAGGGAGGGAGGGGGGGAGGTAAGAAGGAAAAGTTGGGACCGAGAGAAGAATCATTACCAAGTGCCATGGTGTGCTGATTTAGAAAAAGGATAACTTGATATTTTCAGATATTGTTTCGCCTCGCCCTGTGTTCAGCATTTTTTACAACCACAGAAGATTAGGTCAGATGGGTTATCATAACCAATATTTTTTTGCAACCCCTTGGCCTGAAAGGTCAAGTGAGGGAAGAGATGAGCCCAGGACAATTGCACTGTACTGCACAAAAAAAAAATCCAATCCTCATCCCATCTCCCCTCGGCCCTCCCCTCTCATCCCCTTCTGCCCCCCTCTCTCCCCCTCTCTTCCCACCTCTTCCCCTCCTCTCCCCTTTCGCCCTCTCCCACCAACCTACCTGCAGCAGAGCAGAGGCACCGAGTCGCATAGCACCCATGACGTCAGCAGCCGAGGAGACAGAGGAGGCACTGGAGCGGCGGAGCAGGGCAGCAGCTGTAGCGAGCGCCATGGCTGATGAGAGTAGGAGGGAGTTGGTGAGGTTCGGGGGCACAGGAGGTTGCAGCGCAAGGGGAGGTTGGGAGAGACAAGGGGATTTTGGGAGGATGGAGCAAGACAGAGGGATGTGTGACAGATTTGAGCGGAGATTAAGTGATTTATAAGAACTATTGACCTTTGGGTTAGGGATGGGTGAGCACACAAGATAAGGCACGAATGGGGTCGGTGCGACGAGATTCGTGGATGAATGAGGAGGCAGAGGCGGGGGGAGCTGAAGGAGGCAATGGCGTGAGGGAGATTATGACAAGTGAGAGGGGAGATATTGGGAAAAAGGAACGAGGGACAATGGAGACAAGGAATGTAGAGGACAAGGGGAATGTAGATGACGAGGGGAAGAGGCAATGCAACAGGGTGGTTGGTCGGATTGGCAGAGTTGCATGTGGGACACAGAGGAGAGTCAAACGAGACATTTATGAGCGCCAAGATAACACACAGATATAAGAGTACTGCTTTCACTGATCATCAGTGAACGGATGTATGGAGTCGCCTAAAGCGCGTAAGAAAAGGGAAAACGAGATTGTGTCGCATCAGATTCAGTTGATCAGACTGAGGAAGATGCTGGACGAGACTTTCGAGAGGCTTAGTCCTACATCGCGACGATGGAAGGCATTGGCATCTCTAAGCTTAGCACACCAGTCCCATTGCAGAGCGTAAGCGGATATCCAATACGTGTTTCTGATAAACTGAATGCGGTGATGGCAGATTCATTTAGAATAGAGCACTACCGTTTCGACCAGTAGCAAGACACCGACGGCAAAGAATGAGGCGGAATTTGGCTGTCTGGACTAGAGACAACGATTATACTGCCTATAATACGCCTTGAAACTGGATGATAAGAGACAGTGCAGATATGAGAGCGAGGGCGGTACGAAACTCAAATTAAGCTGCTTACCGTGGAAGGTATCCACGTAGACGGCGAAGTGTATGGAATGAACCGAGCTGCTGTTAGCCTCTCCGTGAACTGCTTGTTCCTGGGAATGCAGGTGCCTGATTTACTACTGACAGTGATAGACACATTCACAGAAGGTGCTTTGTGGATGTAAAACCTGCGGTGATCAGACCAAGGTCTAACGAGCTCCACCTAAAAACCGCTTAGGAACCGTCGCAAAATGTTGAGAATCGCTCCAAAAGTATCAGAAACTCACGGAAACGCAAAACAGCGGGGAGATTCGGGCAGGACAGGTGGGTTGGTCTGTGTGCTGCAGGACAGCTCGCGAAAACCTGAAAAATTTCGCTGGATATGGTAACTAGCCAGGTCCAGATGCGCCAGAAAAGCTTCGCTGGGTTTGGTTTCGCAAAACAGAGCATCATTGGTCCTGTTCGGGTTCATGAATCTGGATGTCTCCGCAGAAGGATGGTACGTAGATGTAACATCGGACGAACACCTAACGACATATGAGGACGTTGGCGAACCGTCGCACAATGTATCGCACAACCACAGCAGGACAGCTTGTCAACACAACCTGTCATCGTCTCGTGTCATCTTCGTCACACCCTGGATAATTCCGTCAATAGACGCGGTTCGATTTCCCTAAGCCCTCGGTCAATTTCAGACAATGTCAGGTTCGCTGCATGGCGAATGGCTATCTCAACGAGCTAGCAGAACTCAAGCGCGCTGAAAAGGCACGGAAGAAGCTAGCAAGCAGAGAGCAAGCAAAGAGCCAGACACCCAGCAAGCAAAGTTTTTGCAAAACCTCGTCTACCTTGGCAGTACCTCCCCCCTTGTGCTGCCGACTCCTGATTCTGTAATCGTCAGTGCCCGTTTATCACCTCCTGAGTTATTAAATTCCTTGAGTTGCATCGTTTGGTGGGATGTCTACTTCAATGGGTCAGCCGGCTGCATCGTCCAAGAATCATGGTCCGTTTGAGTTTTTACAGTATCCGATTAAACAAAAACGACTGTTAGCAGCCATAGATCCTGCACTGACACAAGTACCTTGCTGCAGGCCGGGGCGATCAGCCTTTACTACTTTTGAGCGTTCACCCAGGTATGCATCCAGTTTTCCTTTCTGTTTCCTACCTTTCAGCGATTTTCATTCATATTTGGATGTGCGCGCAGGTGGAGAAAAGGCTCCTGAATATCCGGAAAAGGTTGCTATGGATGAGGATGAACCCAGTGAGAGAAAGCGACTTTCAGGAGAAGAAGTTCCGGGTGGAACGGAAGGCGAGGATGATGGCAGCGTCTATTCAGCAATCAAATCAGGCCTCAGGAAGATCTGGAGAAATATTGGCGGTTATGAAACACTAGCACATACTGAATCTGAAGCTAAGGAAAGAGCAGCAGGTGCTCGCACTAACGTCAAGGCTCCTACTATTGTTGGTCGAGTGCGTGAAGAGGTGGAAGCTGTTGTTGACGTTGTCCAAGGGGGGGAATAAATAGCTGACACATCTTTGTTTACGGGACAACCATACCATGTACTCCTGCTACCTGCCATTTGAGGCAAGGTGTGGATGGATAGAATGTGGAGAGGTACCGTATGGCCCCGGATATAGGCGCCGTCCGATTAAGGGCGCCGGCGCTTCTATCTGGAGCATGGCGCTTATGGCCGGAAGTCGATTATAAGCGCCCCCCCTCTGGTGGGTGTACTTAGTATAAGCGCACCTTTTCACGTTGTGGAGAACTCATTACAAAAAAAACATCTCTAATTAACACTAAACATGAGCATGCTAACTTTACACCTACAACATCATCACTGACATTTTTATCTAGCTACATATTGCAAAGTTTAGCATCTCTACCTAGAAAATCTACTCCTCGTCGGATTCTGGCTCCTGGCAGTTGTTGCCAAAGAAGCCATCGGCGATGATGGAGTCATCGACATCCACCTCCGCGGTCAGCTGGCTCCGTCTGTGCGCCATGGCGAGGCCGTCCTCACTGCCGTCAAGCGCGTTGCTGATGCCACAGGTGAGGAAGGCGCGCTTGATGAGGTCGGCGGGCACTGCTTTCCAAGCCCGTGAGATCCACCTCACGACCACCTCTGGGGGTGGCTTCTTCAAGTTCCCTGTACCAACAGAATCACATGAAATGAGACGGTAGTTAGCGCAACAAAAGGGGGGAAAATCTTCTACGGTAGTCTAGGGACTCGCGTGGCTACCGTACCTGCTTTGGTTAGCTGTTCTTGGCCTTCTTCCTGAAACCACTTCTGATACTGCTGGCGAACGCTCGCCTTAAAGCTCTTGTTGATGGAGACGTCGAGGGGCTGTACCTCCGCCGTGCAGCCAGACGGGATGATCGCCGGCACGCAGTTGAGCTCGCGAAACTTCTCCTTAACGGCATCAGTGAGGTGACCGCGGTACGAGTCCAGTACGACCATTGAGCTCCGCGCATGCCTCCCGAACCCAGGCTTTAGAAATGGCTTGACGCACTCCTCAAGCCATTGTATGACGCCGTTGGCGTCCATCCAGCCATTCTCGTGACACGACACGACCACATCTGCATAACAAACAAGCTTCTGTAAATCTCTTTAAAAACAGAGACCGGTGTAAAGCAAACAAACAAGAATCCTGACTCACCCGGCGGGAACACCCCTTTCGGCACGGTCTTCCGCTTGAAAAAAACCCACGGCCTCAGCTTCATCCCGTCCGCCGTGCACGCCAACATCACGGTCACGCGCTCCTTCTGGTACCCTGCGCTCCTGATGGGCACCGACCGAACACCGGTTTGATCGACGGTAGTGGTGGCGGGCATCTCCAGCCACAGTGGCGTCTGGTCGGCGTTGATAATCCACGTCGTCTCGATGCCGCGCTCCCGACGCTTGTCACGGACGAATTGCCAGAAGTTCTTGCATTGCTCCGCGACATCTGCGGTTGAGCACAGTTACGGTTAGTGAGTAACAAGTGCATACACATGGCATAGAGAATAAAAATGATTCTTACGGGCGGCGGTTTTCTGGGCGACCTTCGTCTTCATTCGCACGCTGAGATTCCACCGCCGACGGAACCGGTCCGACCACCGTTGGCTCCCTTTCCACTTCACGAGGGGGTAGAGAATCTTCATGAACTCCCGGGACCACTCCTGCAGGCGGCCGACGGACACCGCGGTTCCCTTGCGTCGCCAGTCGAGCAGTCGCTCATACACCTTAATCTCCATCGGGCGGTACCACGACGCCCTGCCGCGACCGTGCATGCGGCATCTGGCAGAGTGGGCTTCCTTGAGGAAATCAGCGGCACGCTTCCAGTTGGCGAGGCACTTGCGGTGGATGCCACTCTCGCGAGCCAGAGCGCGCACCGACACCGCCAAATCCAGCTGCACGACCCACTTCAACTTCTCGGCGGCAGTATAGGCCTGACGCTTGTGGTCGTTGGGCTTGTGCTTGGGAGAGGGGGGGCGAGAATCACGGTTCTGTGAAGAAGGGTGAGGTCGCTTACGATTACGTGGAGGATAAGTTGGTATCGGGAGTTTCTCAGGGAGGCCATCGCGTGACCAGTATTCGACGCCGTCGTCGTCGTCACCGCCCGGCGCACCCTCGGGAAACACATCCTCAGCAGTGCCGGCCTCAGTAGCGGCCTCGGTGTCGGCCTCAGTGCGCCAACCGTCCTCGGCGTCTTGCACGTCGTCATCAGCGCCGACTGCAGATTCATCCCACGTGAAATCTTCTGGCTGGCCCCAACGTGGTGCTGGCGCTGGAGCGGGTACGTCAACATCGGGGCCCTTGTCATAATCCGGTTCCGACAGATACTCGTCGAACGCCGATGGGAGCAGGAGCGTGAGCACGGGGTGGTTGTCGATGTGAGGGGCCACCGGACACGGAGGAACAGGAGGAACAGGAGGAGCAGGGGGAGTCGGAGGCACTGGAGGAGCCGGAGGAGCAGGCGGCGCAGGAGGCTGTGGTGGCTCTGGAGGGTCTGGAGGTATGCGGCTATACCACCCGTCGGATGTAACACGGTACGCGGGCCTACTAGAAGGTTTTTTCTTGAAGAGAAAATGAGTGCCTGTGAATTCCGCCATGGCTTCCGCAGCCAGGCGGGCGAGAAAATGAAGACTGAATCAAAAACTGCAACCCTGGGTGTTGAAATGGGAGATTGAAGGGGACCCCTTCTGGTTTGCGGCTCGGGGTCCTCGTCGATGAGAGACGAGTACACCCCTGCCCCAACCCGCAGAGGAGGGTTGGGGGCACCATCCATGCTGCGCTGGCACGGCAGATTCCATCACGTTCTGGATGGTTCTGCCGAGATGCTCCTGCCTGGCAGCGCATGCCAACCTGATTGGGCCGCACGGCAGGTTTTGCATCAGCGCTGGCAGGTGCGTTGCACCGGGACGGGTTTTGTGCGGTGGGAAATCGAACCGCGGCAAGTTTCGACGTCATTCCATGCACGACCCCGCGTGCATGGTACAGTGCTGTACTCGCCTTATTGAGGGCTTCAGAATGATATCCTTTACAGAGAAATTCATTTTTGCCTTTATAAAAGCGCCGGCGCTTATGGCCGTTACTCAATTATAAGCGCCCCCCTTAACAAATAATAATCTATTATAAGCGCATATGCGCTACTATCCGGGGTATAACGGTACTATCACTGGTCATTCTTGAAACTTACTACACCTTTCCCAAAATGAGGAGTACTTTCATTGGTCACTTGCATTATCATGGAAGCTACCGGTAATGCCTATCCAACAAACATGCAGGTAGCATTGAACCTTTCCAACCTCAATGAACTTAAAAAACGTATCCGCTCACTCTGATCCAATCAACTTTTACCGCACTATCCAAAACCTAGAAGAACCAACCAAAACGCTGCCTAACTTGAAGGCAGCTCATCCAAACCCCCTTATGGTACAACCAGCCCACAGAATGGCATAACTGTAGGACTGTCTGGCAAGACCAGGACCTGAAGTAGGAGTAACCAATGGACACCTCAAATAGCCATGCAACAGGGCCAAAGGAAGGCCCCGATTATGCTTAAGAATAAAGATACGACCATGAAAGATGGGACAGGTCTGGAAGAGAAGCTTTCGAGAATGGCAGGAGATACCATTTGAAGAGTAAAGAAGGCGGAAAAGTTGGGACACAGAAGATAGAAAGGGGCAGAAAGGTGGAATCCCAATGATAAGTGTCCATGTGATGTAGGGAGGGAGAGAGGGGAAAAGAAAGCGAGAGAGAACGAGAACGGAGACAAGAGAAACAGGAGAATCCAAACAGAAAAAACTGTAGGGAGGACATAGAAGAGCCACGCAACAACATCCACAATGACGGATTCCCTGCTGTCGACTCACTCAGCTACAGCACCAACAGCCTCACAATGGCTGGCCATCCATGCTCAAGTCAAGCTACCTCAAACTCCGCCATCCCACAGCAAGACTCCTTGCAGTGCACCAACTCTGTCCTGTGTCCC